GATACTTAATGGCGACAGCAGCTTGATGCTTACAAGGTGATCCTCCGAAAGCAGCTAAACATGTACAGGTACCAATAGATAGATCGACAATATAAAATTTGCCAAGAGTTGTTACACTTGGCACATTATATACATGGTTAGTATTATCATAATGAATTTCATTCTAATTTACATCTCTCCAACCGGGACAGAGAAACCTTTTTGTCAATTCTAAATGGCCCGGATGCCGATTAGCAATTCCTAAAATTCATCGTTCGTAAAAGCGTTCCATGTTTGTTACAATAAACTGAAATATCTGAACAGCATTATATGCTTGAGTTCTCCCAAAAATAATATCTTTAATAATCCCAAAGCTCCGTTCTACATAATTATTGGTGTGATTTCCACGTAGCATTAAGTTTTTCCAAAATGATAATGCCCAGAAAGCCCGTCATTTCCAAAGAAGCGTAAAATGTGATACAAGTAGCCTATATTTGGTAAAGTATTGTTTCTTAAATTTGGAATATTCTTCTTCCATTTTAGGAATAGTGGATGCATATAAAATAGTTTTTAAGGAGTGCATAATCGAAATTCGGTCATTCTTTTGAATTTGATGTTTTAAATCATGAAGCCACCACCAAAGAGCCTGTAAAACATGAAAAATGCATAGCAGTTGAGTACATGTTGGCCAACAAATTTCTAAAGCATTTCGTTCAGCGCTAGAATCATCAGTTATAATTACACTAGGACTAACTTGTGGCCTGCGCCCATAAAATGCATTATGTGGTAGTATTGTTTTAAGCAAATTAAGGGCATTTTCTATTGTAACTTCAGCTTCGTCTGATGTTAAAAATATTCCCAATGGTAAAGCACCGATAGAACAACTTGTATAAAGGAGAGTAATAGATGTGTTAAGGGATCAAATGAAGAGGATGCATCTAAATAACAAAGTTCCCCAGCCTGGCGAATTTTTTCATGTATCCTTTTCATTAAACCTGTAACAATGCAGAGAATAAAGGGAGTATTTTTTATTGAATTATAAATCTGAAGAATTGCTTTTCCATTGTTTGAATTGTTATATTCAGTAACCATTTCCTGTAGTCGCTCAAACATTTCATTCCCATTTTTGTTACCAAGTTGTGCAAGCCGAAATTGATTATAAAGGTGCCACAAAAAACCTCCATCTGGATTATTTGCTCGATCAGCTAGTAGACGTACAAGCTCATCATCATTTGATGCAGATAAGTGTAACTTATCTTCATATATATACCTTGCTGTAGCTACCGTATGTTCCATACTGAATAAATCTATATAACTCTTTTGAGTTTTCATACTAACTGAGCGAAAACTAAGTGATGCAGCTGAATTTGGTAAGTGATTATGTATATAATGAAGGTTAATTTCAAGTGGATGTGAACTTTCAATATTAGACGTTTCTAATTTAAAGGCAAGTGTTGCCATACAATTTGTATCTCTATTTCGTTGGCTATTAGGATTTTTGACATTACGATTTTTATTCTTTTGCTTCACTTTATGACTGTGAATACAATGTCTAGTCTCTCTGAAAATAACTTTATTCCCTTTTACAGAAAAGGTTTTAGTTAGCCGCATGGTGGTCTTTGATATCTCTTGAAATTCGTCTAACCAATTTAAAGCGCCCTCCTTGCTGTTAAGATCTACGTATAAATCTACATTAAGCTGTCCAATATGCACATTTTCAGACGTGATTATGGGTTCAAGTTCAGTATAATTTTTTATTTTATAAGTATTATTTGGTGGAAGGATTTTTTGGAGTGGAGTCAGCAAATCAGCCAAGTTTAACGAATCAGTTTGCATTGTAATATACGAAAAAAATAAAAAGCGAAATAAGAATAAAATGAAGCGAATATAAATCAAATTAATAAAGAAAAAGATTAGTTATTATAAGTAAAGTTTATTTTATTAACTACTGATATCATTAATGATCACTTAAATCGTTTGATTGAATTTCCGGACAAGCACGTGATCATCCAGAACGGAACCTGGTACACATTTTCGGGGTGCGATTGTCGATCACTGGGTTCAGTGATCTTTAAGTGTCCCGCAAAATCATTAGCATATATTAGTCATCGACAAAATAATATTGATATCGAAAATGTAAAAAAAGAATTTGTGACCATAATGACAAAGTATCAATCTTAAATAACTAATGCCAACAGAAATTATCATAAAAAAGAAAAGTATAAAGCTTTTTTGCTTTATTTATGAACATCAGCAGTGACGTACTGTACGTATGTCTAGGGATGGATTGGTCCGTCCCGGTTAGTCCTAGTCCCTATTAGACCGTTTTTATAATGTTTATTAGTCCGGTCGGTCCTAGAATCGGTCTCACGACTTATGATTTTTCAATGCATAGCATCAAAATTTTACTTATTAGCCGCCAAATTTTTAAAAATTTAAAAAACATAGCACATTAAATTATATTGTAAAAATACAGTACATATTAAATTTATGTTATAAAAAATACAGCAATGTAAATATAAATATGTATTTCATATGTGAAGCTAATTTAATATAAAAATTGAGCACAGGAATGTTTAACTATCCAATTTGCCAACTCTTTAAACATAGAATCGCTCTTGTATTTTTTTATTTTTTGGTCGGCAATTTTATTAAGGTTCTCAACATTTATCTCATTAGAAATTGGAATTCGACACTTATTTTATCACACTGAGAAAAATTGGAAGATGGAGGAGAATTATGAAAGTATTATTATTGTTGTTGTTGTTGTTGTTGTTGTTGTTATTGTTTGCGTTGTTTTCTTTATATATTTATCGGCTTTTTTATCAGTAGTATTAGTCATCGTTAGACCATAATCAGGACCAGGACAGGACCGAAGACTGAGAATTATTCGGTCCCCAATCTTTTACCGTCCGGCCGGTCTTTACGAAGACCGATCCATCCCTATGTAGGTCATTTGTTGATCATGGAACGATTCCGAATTACAGTAACAGGAATCAATAAATGACGCATAACATATTAATTATAAACATATGTTCATTGTTTTATCAGTCAACTTGAACTACAAGATCTTTTAATATTTACTTTATAATGAATATAATTCAAGTTAATGCATTCAATGACACATTCTCTTTAAATACTAACAATCTCGCTTACCCTATGAAAAATGTTTTACGGAAATTTAAATGAGTTATACTGAATGTTTAGTATAATTCCGTATTACATACGTAATTCGCCGTAAATTCCGTATTTTATATACGAAATATGCTCTGGGAAATGATGTGGAATCTATAAAGAAATGCATTAATTCTTTTGCGGCAAATTCCATATATAATACGGAATTATACTATATGTTCCGTATAAATCATTTAAATTTCCGTAAAACTTTTTCATAGGGTTGAAAAAAACTCGGATAATTTCTGATTGATCTTCATTAGTCTTTTTTGTTTTCGTTTCATTTTTCTTTTTGTTAAATCTTTGTCGCAATTGTTGCATGATCGAATTGTTTAGAGTAAATTTCAATAACAATAAGGACTTTTGCAACTACATATTACAGAAATATAATAGGGTTCGTATTGATGAAACAGAATCAGTATAAAAAATGAAAAAAACTAAATACAATTGTCTGAATGACTGAGACGGAAGGTTTACAATAACAAAGTCAAACAGCATGTCTTAGTAGGCCGGCTAATAATTGGATGATAAACTAATGGGTTTTATGCATATTCATTAAATCCTTCTTACAGAATCTTCCAGAATAGACCCTCATTAAATAAAACAATCACCCTAAGAATTCGTCAGACTAATCAAAAAAAATTAAACAGGGGTTTAAACTAAATTTGGTGACTCTATTCAGGACCCAATAATCAGAAATTAGCCCATATGGTGAAATTTAGATTGAATATAGGTATTTAAGTTTCTAACTAGCAATGCATCTACGTGACCGTTATTCAAAGCTTTAATAATAAGTCGGAATCAAGTGACGACGCCAGGGCGGCCCACTCGAAGTTCGGGTTGATGATTGACATCACTACCTAAGCATTAAGTTATAAAGCTTTCGTTTTCTTCAACATCGATATATATAACTTATATATATTTTTATTATTATCGTTATCATTACTGGTGCATGCTGAGGCTGTGACATTGATCATCAACCCGAACTTTGAGGGGCCGCCCTGGTGTCGTCGAATTAAGTAGGGAAAATAATATGTTTTATAGAATATAGGTTTATCCACTTAAAATGATTCTTTTTTTAAACAAAAAAAAATAGTACACACCGCTGAAAAAAGTCACAAGTTTGAAAATCTTTAAGATATACTATAAAAAAACTTTAATTGATTTATATTATTATGAATCTCATTGATATAGATTAATAAATTACTTTAGCTTTTGATTTTTTCTAAAAACTTTAATCCGATAAATAAGCTTTCTAAATTTTTATAAGCGTTAATTAAAATACTTAAGAAAATATTTTATCAAATCTATAATTGTAATATCAATTAAAAAATTTATCTGAGAATAAGAATTTGAATTTTATTATAGTGCAAAAGATTTTGTACATTTACTAAGTTTTATTATAGAAAAGCTCTTCAAACTGGTGACTTTGTCAAGGGAGTACATGTTGTAAATAGCGATCATATCTACAGACATCAAATCTATTCAAAACCATTTCAATTACGTCGTATAACTTTAAATTAATGATTTATTCAATAAAAGTCAATCTAACCGGAAAGATGTAACACTTTGAAAGGTTCATAAAATTTTTATGATATCGATGGCATATCTGAGTCGTGAGATGACGTACAATACCTTCCTTTTTAAATCCAAAGAAAGAAACAAGTAGATACCTATCAGTAAGCTTTCAATCGGAAATTCGATGCAATTGATATTTTTCATATTCAATAGCCTTTTAACAATATAAAAACTCATATTTTCAATTAAACATTTCAACAACCAACTATTTTGAAAAAATTTACGATCTATTGCAGTAAAGCAAATAAAATTTAAATACATATCACGGGATGAATTACAACGTATGATTATTAAAACAGTTTATTGAGACCCTTGTAAATTTTATTGGATATTCTATATGCAGATTATTTTTAATTCGGAGGTTCTGCCACTTTTACAACGTCAAAAATTATATCATTTTATACCTTTCAACTCACAAGGGACTCAAGAGGCTTCTGAATTAAGGGATTCTATTTTCTTGGCCCCTATGAAATTTAAGGATTCTATAAGTTGTTGATATTCGTCACAAACCTTACATCCCCTTAAATTTTTCGAAGTAATTTTGACTATTTTTTATTGAGGATATGTTTTCTTCACTATTATATAGCAGAATAAAAAACACAGTATGTCGTGGGTAGTTTCAAGAAAAAGGAATCCAGTGATATTTTCGTGGTCATCACTTCACATGATTAAGTGTTCGGCCTAAGTTAGGGTTAGTGTGTTAGGGTTAGGTTATAGGTTAGTTTAGGCTAATTTTTTAGTGCTAGTAAACAAATGACGTTATTGCATGAAGTGTCTATTTAATCGATCACGTGTACGGATTACCAGTGATACAAAGCCAAAGAAATCATTCATATGTACTGTACGTACTGTACATACGTACGTACGACACAAGCACAGTACTCAATATAGATTTGGGATTACATTCAACGTTTCAACGAAATTAATTCTTCTCATACAGCATATAAATTTTGGATATAAAATGTCAGTTACAAAAGACAATAGCCCATCAGGTGAAATTATTAAAATTCCTAATGCTTTCAATCAACTGAAATTTATCGATTGTCAAAAATTAGCTGATATAAATGATCCAGATGGAATATTCTGGCTTGGTTATTGTTACGAATATGGAATTGGAGTTAAAAAGGATGAGAGTAAAGCATTTATTCATTATCAAAAATTTGCAGAGATGAATAATCCTAATGGAATGTATCAAGTTGGTTATTGTTATTATTTAGGAATTGGGGTTGAAGTAAATAAGCGTAAAGCGTTTATGCATTATCTAAAATCTGCTGAGGCTGGTAATGCTATGGGAATTTGGAAAACTGCTATTTGTTACAGATACGGAATTGGTGTGGGAAAGAGTAAAGACAAATGCAATAATTGGATTGAAAAGTATGCTATTTATTAATTTTATCATTAATATATAATATATTTGAATTTTACATTTAAATTATTAATCATTCAGGAAGTAAGTATAATGATCAATTATATGAATAATAAAAATCATTTCGATTACAATAGTTAATGGCATTTCTATTTAAATAATCTGCTCAAATCGGTTTATTCACATTAATTTAGTCCGTAAGTGAAGAACATCTGTTAGTTTAAATATTTTAAATAAATGATTCATGAAAAAAATTTATGGTTAATTTTATTTTATTCTTGTTAATTTAGTTTGTGAGTATACTAAAGAACATTTATTAATTCAAGAATTTAAAATAAGCTATTCAAGTTCATAAACGTTTATTATTTGATTTTATTTATTCGCATTAATTTAGTCTGTGAGCATAAAGAACTTTTATTAACCTAAGTATTTAAAAATGAGTTATCCAACTCATTGATTTTATCTTATCCGCGTTAATTTAGTTTGTGAGTATAAAAAAACATTTATTAACCAAATATTTAAATAAACTATTCAAGTTCATGTATATTTACCATTTAATTTTATTTTATTCGTGAAATTTAGCAGGTGAGTATTATGAATATTTACTAATATAAATATTTACTAATATAAATATTTAAAATAAGCTATTCAATTCACGAATATTTACTATTTAATTTTATTTATCGTGTTAATTTAGCGGGTGAATATTAAGAACATTTATTAATCTAGTATTTAAAATATTAAAGTTCATAATTTTATTCACGTAAATTTAGTGTGTGAGTATAAGGAACATTAATTGATCAAACTATTTAAAATAAGCTATTCAATTCATGAATATTTACTATTTAATTTTATTTTATTCGCGCTAATTTTAGCAAGTGAGTATAAAGATCATTTATTAATCCTAAAATTTAAATAGGCTATTTAAGTTCATGAATCTTATTATTTAATTTTATTTATTCGCGTTAATTTAGTATAAAATAGACTATTCAAGTTCATATTTACTACTTAATTTGTTTTATTCGCGTTAATTTAGTATGTAAGTATAAAGAATATTTATTGATATAAGTATTTAAAATAAGCTATTTATGTATACTAAAATTTTTTTTAGAGAGTGAGTATAAAGAACATTTATTAATCCAAGTGTTAAAATAAGCTATTAAAGTTTATAAATATTTACTATTTTAATCGCCTTAATTTAGGGAGTGAGTATATATTAATCAAAGTATTTAAAATAAGCTATTAAAGTCCATGAATATTTACTATTAATCTATTATCCGTGTTAATTAGTCGGTGAGTATAAAAAATTATTTGCATTCAAATTTAAGAGTATTGTACATGATAACTTAATACATTTATACAATTAATAATTATAAAGAGATTCAACGCATGGAAAATGTGCATATTGTAATGAATATAACACACAGGAAGCATGGTGTCAGACATGTGATCCAGACATAACAATTCGAGGGTGGACAAGTGGAAATAAGGATATTGATAATTGCATGAAGGGGCTTCAACTTAGATCTACCTTTTATGAATATATGATTGAATGGTTTCAATTTGATAGACTAAATAATATTAAAAAATTGGCGAAGGAGGGTTTAGCTCTGTAATTTCTGCGACCTGGTTAGATGGTATACGAAAGATAAAACTAAGAAAAATGTAGATGATATTTATGAATGTTTAAGATTGCGTGAACCACCTAGCACCGTTGCACTCAAGACCTTATCTGGTTCCAAGGGAAATCCTCATGATTTTTTGAAGGAGGTAAGTTAAATCATTGTACTACTTATTAAACACTTATTAAACTAATTCATTTCTATAAATTTACAAAGTTTGGCAATCATATGAAATGTAGATTACACGGTAGTAATCTTAAAATATATGGATTAACTCAAAACACGGAAACAAATGAATACTTAATGGTATTTCAATATGCCGATAATGGATGTCTTCATAAGTTTTTAAGAATGAAATTTCGAGATCTTACCTGGCAAATTAAATTAAAATTACTTAAAAATATTTCATATGATTTAAATGAAATCCATAAAACAGGGTATATTCATGCAGATTTTCACAGTGGCAATATTTTACAAAATGAAGAAGATGAAGAAGGTGAAGGCATTAGTAAAATTATGCAATCTTACATCTCAGATCTAGGAATGTCTAAAAAGACAGATCAAAATGATTCAGAAGGTGGTATTTATGGAGTCTTGCCGTATGTTGCACCAGAAATTTTATTGGGACAGAAGTTTACATCAGCTGTAGATATTTATGGCTTCGGAGTTATTATGTCAACTGGACAAAGACCTTTTGATGGTCGCCCATTTGATCTTAGTCTTTCATTAGATATATGCAAAGGTTTGCGACCTGAATTTGCACCTGGGACTCCTGAATGCTATATTGAATTAGCTAAGCAATGCATGGATTTAGATCCACAAAGTCGGCCTACTGCTAGTTACATTTACTTTGAACTTTCTAAATGGCAATATTCAGATAATGCAATTAAAAAGCAATTATTAGATGCTGATAAAATAATCAAAGAATTGCCGGTTATCTCACCAAAACATCCAGATTCTATGTACACCAGCAAAATAATAAATACTAAAAGAATATCAAGCGTAATTAAAGGTATTTTTTTAAAAATTATACTATACTATTTATTAATTTATTTATTTAAAATTAACTATGCTATATTAGCAAATTTACCAAGTAAACCTGTCGGTTCTGTTGAAGCTCCTCTTGGTAAGTAATATATTAAACTTACAGTATTTATAATTAACCAAATTTATTAATTATTTTATATTGGCATTTAGATTATTGAGTTAATTGCTTTAAAGATATCTTTATGCTTATAATTATTATTTTAATTATTTAAGTTTTATACGTAAACATAATTTTAATTCTTTTAACCCAAATCGTCTATATAAGCTGGTTGGTTACAAAAGCCGTTTGCATTATAATTATGTTGCTGCTGTTGAAATTAAGCAACCTTTTTTTTTTTAAGTACAAATAAACTTATAATGTGATGTAATTTATATAAACGTAAGATATTTATCTCCTTGTTATCACCGTGAAAAAAGATTTTGTCGACCATTCATGATAATACTACAGCCAATCGAACTTGCATGCTAAAAAAATTTTATACAGTAATCGTTATTTCTGTATTTTAAATTAAAAAAATACTGCTCCCCAAAAATTTCTTGGTAAATAAAGTGCATTTTCGAATTCTACCGACTTTTAGAATTCTAATCTTTCTAAACATCATTCATACTTAAGATATCGTTCAAATTTAAGTCGTGGTGCATTTTTTTAAACTTGGTCATTTTTTTAAAATGTAAATTCGGCTTTGCTGCATTATCATGTGATGAATGCAGATTTTACAATGTCATGCCGTTTCTAAATATACGGTATATAGCAAAAAATACTATTCCTGATAGCAATATAGAGATTTAGCCAGCCACTTAGCTCTTAGTTGGCTGATAGTTTTATCAGCCGGCTAATCATAATAATCAATATTGTTAAATATGAAATTATTTTTTATCAATTATTTTACTCCTCTGTATAATTTCTAAATTAACAAATTTAGTATGCTAGTTATTTGTTAATCTAAGCTTAATAAAATTTAATTTATTCGTACATTTACTACATTACTAAGCGGCTAAGCCAATAAAAATTTAACGGCTTAGCCGAGACAAAAATTTTAAGCGGTTCGAATCATAGTGCAATTCACAGATAAGCTCATTCATAAAATAATTTATTTCATTAACAGTTCATTTATTGATAGTTTATTTCATAAAGCAGCTCATTTTTTAAATACAAGTCTTTTTCTTATAAATTGCACTAATTTAATAATAAAGTGATTAGAATTACTTTGTAAAATGAAATAAAACTATACGAAATAAGCTTTCAGTGAAATAAACTATATATGAAAGAAACCTGTGTGAATTGTCTGTAAATAATCTTGTGAACTAAGTCTTTTGCGAAGTGATTGTATACGAAGTGAGAAGTACCTTAGTATACACACGTCACTCTGGTTACATTGACACTCGTATATCTAGATGCCAGTTTACCCAGAAGCATTTTCATATTAAATGTCGTTAAAGACAGATGTAGTTATAATCAGAGTGGCGTATATACCATATTTCGTATGATTCTCTACAAATATTAATTACAAAAATGAGTCAAAAGCTTGATAATTAACAAAAAGATACTCAATTCCTTCTAACACATCATTATTTTTTATACAAAAGCTTCGATAAAAATATATAAACATGATAAGCTTGCATAAGAATGTTTTGAATAAAATGTTATATAAAGATCGGCAAGAATATTCTTTCTATCACAAGCTAAACCAAAAATAATAATTAATATACATTACCAATATTTCGGAAGGGAAGATACAGAAGCGATAAAGCACAAGAAAAATCTATAATTTTATATTGACATAACAATTTATTTTACGGTATTTGTTAGCACCCCTATTTCTGTAAACAAAATTGCACATTAATTAAACAATGCACCTATGGTGTTGAACACCATATATAATTTTTATTAATAAAATTTAGGGTTAGGGTGCAGTTTTAGAATAAAGGAGGAGTTTTATATAATATAATGTAAATTAGATATAAGGTTCCTGTAAGGTTTTCATGGGTCCTGAACATTTTTACTTAGTGTACCCGATTCCATTTACTTAGTATGTTTTTGAGAAATAGCACTTATGGTGTTTAGCACCATAGGCGCTAATTAAAAACGCATGATATATCACGTGACGTTGCTAATCCTCGAACGAAAATGAAAGATACGAAAAAACGACAGGCTAAGCTTGAAGCATTAAAAATGATTGGATATACAGTAGCATTGACCCTAACTCTATCCATAAACTGATCCAACATAAAGTATTGGATGAAATATAGGTGACACCCAATTGACTTTGTTTATTAAGGTGACATTTATATATATTTCATTTAAGCAGGGTAAGAATTTCTTATTTCGTTAGTTTTATTTTTTTGATACTGTAGATGGCAATGTATCTTAAAGTTCTGATTTATCATAATCCAATTTTGTCATTAAATGACTATAATTTGTACAGAATTTAACCTTATTATCTGTTATGGAAGTATCCGTATATTCATATCATTTTAATTAAATTTATAATTAAATGTATAATTAAATTTATAATTATTTAAATAACAACTAATTGTCATATAAAAAGATTAGATTATACAGAATTATTATTTTAAGATAATTCACGTGGGTTACGCAGGTGGCGTAAATAAAAATGTAGAAAGGGGAAAAATACAAATAATGTAATAAAGAAATTTTTGCTCTTTCCATATTTGTCTTCGTTATCGTTTCCTTGTAAACAAATAAGCAAGTGATCGTTATAACCAATATCTAACTAGACTCTCAATACTAATTAGTAATAACCATTCTTTCGATTAATGCACTTAGTCAAAATCCAATACCCTTCAACTCAGAACGGTCAATGTGGCACAAATTTAAAATTTATATATTACAAAACCTATAAGTCTAGTAAGTTTAGTGACCCCATCCAGCGTACCTTCTGGCAGACCTTGTTCCGATAAGAAAAACGGTTTCCCAAAAAAAAACCAATTGTGGAACACTTATTCTTCTATTTATCGATAACTCTCTACCACATATACTATATTGAGACCTATTTTGCTCACCTCGTTCTGCGATGGATTTTGTAATAAGTGAAAGTTTACCACCAGATTTGTCAATTGGCAGTATAAACACTTCTAAAGGTGGTTGTGTTGAATCAAAAAAGAAAGTATCAACTGATCCAACACTTGCAAATGTATGTGCTCTAACTCTCCGAGGATGTGAATATGTATAGGCAGAGCGAGGATGGTTATTGTTTAGTGGATGGCAAGGATAAGCATCATTTCGTGTGATATTATGAACATTACTATTGGTGATAGAAGTTGATAGACATGAAAGAGGCTCTTCAACTATGGTGGAAGGTTGGTCATTGATTAAATATAATGAGGCTACTGGATCTTTGTCCAATACAACCGACGAACGACGTGACCTTCTTTTAATGACCTTGGCAACAAATCTGAGTTCGTCTCTGTCCACCATCGTGAGTTTTTAAAATATTATATGATTGTGCTTCAACGGGAATAGGAATGTGATGTATATATTACACACGGTTGCGGAAGATGTGAAAAGAATTTATACAAAATTGAATTTTAAATAATTATTAACGTTAATTTATTTAAAGGGGGATAAGATAATGAAAGTTAAAAAAAATAAAATAAAAATAAAAAAAAAAACAAATAAAAAAAAAAAAAAAGAAGGGCTATAAATCATTCAATTTTTTTTTTTTTATTTATTTTTTTTTTTTTAAGGGAGAGAAATGATTTTGGTTTTTTTTTTTTTTTGAACGTCAATGTATATATGTATATATATATAAGATCCACCATTATTATGATGTATAGCTAATTTACAATTTAGTAATCGTATTCTTACCAAATAAACATTAGTGTCCACCAATGAAACAATACAAGGTGAACATACGCATAGTTATGTTAATGTAATATGAACACAAATCATAACTTCAAATTGTATTATCCGTTATTGTCTAACATCACTGCAGTGAATATGTTTTAGTATACTTTGATTAATAGATATATTTGCGTCATTAGTTACTACCAAGTTAGTTACGATTTATCTAAAAAAACGGTCAAATATGACAATAAGTCTGCTCCTATAGTTATAATATACTTATCCTTCTGTAAAAAAAAAGATTTATAACAATTTGGATAGAAATAAAGATATCGTATCATCTAATTAAACTACATACAGTATTTAATATCAAATACTTGAGCATGGGTACGCATATCATCGTCGATATTATTTGTTTACTGCAGAAATAATTAAATGTTTGAGCATATATGTAGGTAATTTCGTATTATTACTTTCACATTAGATGTTAACCTGACGGAAAATTCTTATTAAATGTTATTATCAATCTAATAAATGTTTTGCCGTCTAAAGCTTCTTTGATTTGTTTTTTCCTATTTAATCTCTTTTTTGTTAAAAAATAGTTCTTTTTTATAAAATATCAATATGATTGGTATTAAATTGCCCAAACAGATTATAATAAATTTAAGTGTATATATGTCGTAAATGGAAACAAAATTTAAGTTGATTCGGAATTTTTAAGGTTAAGGGTTGGAATTTTTAGTATAATTATTCCGTTCTAATCTAAGTGGATTCCGAATCTATTATAATTTACAACATATACAAATAAAAATAACAAAAAAAAAACAAAATATATAAAAGAGAAAAATTAATAATAGTTTTTTAAATAATTTTTAGTTAACTTTATTTTTATATATATTATACATTATATTGTATGTTTTATTATAAAGAATTTTAAACCAATCAAAATTTAATTACAAAAAAATTTTTTTTTATAGTCAAAGGTTTTTTTGCAATTGATTTTTTAATAATAGTATTTTAAATTATAATATGGGGTTGAGTTAATAAAAACCAAGCAAATTTTTTTTAATAAGTTTTTTAAAAACTTTAAACAAGAATAACTTAACAAAAACTTAATCAAATTTAATAAAATTTTTTTTAAATTAATTTTACAAGTTTGTAAAAATTATTTTAAAAAATTTTTGTTAAATTTGGTCAAGGTTTCATTAAGTTATTTTTGTTTAAAG